CATTGATCAGTTGTACTCCCAAATTTGAGTTGCCAATGACACACCATATAAGTTAGAACTATGCAGAGCACCTCAGCCTGTTAACACTGGATTTGACTCTCCACAACCACCATCAATCCCAACTTGAAAGGAAATGTCACAAAGGAGTTCAGCTCATATAATATCATAATAAGGGAATGATGCAGAAAGATCCCTGCAATCCTAAGTCAAAGACCTTTAAGAAGTTCAAGAAGACCGTCAGATTGACGGTAATCCCTTAAATTCTAGGATCCAGGTGATCAACACATATCATACTTAAATGCTTCGAAATTTAGCTACCAATCACATAGGTGATGTCCAGTGAAGCACAAATACATGAACAAGATATAAGCACTATATATATCTTCAACAAATAAAGATCTGATACAATGAGCATTCATTATATCTAAGACGGCCATCCAAATACTTCCATATCATACCTGATTGATTTGCACGGATTACTCTTATGATATACTATTCTCAACAAGTTCACAGCTTGCAAGTGAGAGTACCCTGTATTACTGAAAGTTTGATATGAAATAGCAATATAAATGCTGATCCTTCTCATATCAGAGTTAAAATCTTATATGTGGCTTTTACGAACTGAAATCTGCATTTTTTCTCATTTTTTATCCAAGGAATTCACTTCAGCATAAATTCTTCAGATCCCTCTAACAAATTGGATGCTTATGATTCCAAGCAAATCAGTATTATTTGCAAAAGGTAAAGTTGAAAGTAAAGATCTGATCCAAATGTCAATAATTACTAATTGGCTTTATACTTGTATTATCAAATAAAGAATTTCTCCTCATGTTGTTTCCTTCAAGGCAATAAAGACACAAAGCCTTAATTCTTACAGATTTTTCCAACAACATAACTTCACATACATAGAGCAAGATTCAGATTCTACTAATGGTTTACCATCATTTAAGTATCAACAGTCCCAACATGTTGGTTGTGCATACTTTACAACTGAACATAAGCATATGAGTATGCATGGTATTCAATTGCTATTATTCTAATCCACCGATATCAATATTGAATGTTTTAAAATGTACCATCAAATCATCCTAATAGCCAAAAAATTCCAAAGGCACTTCTACAGCATAGCACATCAAGAAATGAGAAAATCTACATTTAGTCACATATTGATGATACAATGGTCCATAACCACTCTCCCAAAATTCCTGGTGATGACTGTGAAGTATTTTGTTGCATACAATCAATCACTATCCTAATCTATCTAACAATAATTCTAAATGATTTAGAATATACTATTATACCATTCCAACAGCTAAAGCTTTGAAAAGGCATGGTATGTACATAACAGTATAAAAAAAGTGAGGAAAAAACAGCTAATAAGTTGACTATAATACAACAGAAGAATGTTATTTTTAAAATGCAAAGTTCACAACCATTTTCCTCAATTCCTGTTTAATAAAGTCAACAAACATCACATAACTATCAAATTAAAAAATTAGACAACAGATCACTAATGCTAGCATGTCTTTGGCAACACATTAAAGTTAAAAATCAGTAGAACAGGAAATTTGAAAAAAAAAAAAAGCCATATTATTATTCCAATAATGGAAAAGATGATAAGTACTAACAGGATCATTTTTGAAGAACACCAAGGAAGTCCGTGTGAGGATAAACCACCTCTTCTTCCAAGACTTCCAACCGATGCCTGCAGAAGTTCAGATGAAAAAATTTTGGATAAGCTACAGTGATAATTTAATCAGAAGAGTATTTAAAACATATGCTATGACTAGGTCCCACACATGAGAGATGATAAAAGGTATATGGGAAAAAAGAAATAGTATAGATCTCAATTCTGCTCTTAATTCAACAAATATTAAAACAAAAGATGCATGTTCTCCAAGAATTTGGAGCTAATAACTGATGGCATAAACATGATTCCTCACTTCAAGAACGCATTGTGCAACATTAATACTGAAACCATCAATAAAGAAGAATAAATACTTAAACATGGTTTACCAAGAAGACAAACAAACTTACATGTGTACATAAACTCATACGTATGTACAAACATACACACACAGACACAAAGAACACATTTACAGATATATATATAGATACGCACACATGCACACAGAAACTGTTGAGGCAATTTATACACATAAAGCCATGCCAAATAAATAAATTGCTTTTTCCTTATCATTACAAACAAAGAAAATTAATTTTTTACTAATGAAATAAATAGATATAGCACTATTTATACACATACAGGCCATGACTAGATAGTAAAACTGTTAAGGCAAGTTATATCCAAGAAAAGTACGAGAATTTGAAAGTGGCGAAGAAAGCAAACAGTAATCAAAAACTTTACGAACCTTTTGAGGATATGAAAAGAGGGCCACTCTTGAAAACCTGTGAATTAGTCATATGTCAGAAGCCATGAACAAGCACCAACTACCTAGCGTAAAACTAATTATACTCTTGCAAATAGACCTTCTAATCAATTCTACGGAGCATATACAGCATATGCATCATTGGAATTACCACTAAAACCAAAAAATTTTAACATTATACTGTCAGCTAATGCTATACAAATATTTCAAAAACTAAAAAGGTTATGCAAGTCAAATCACTGAATGATTAAAGCAATAATTATTTACATAATGTACAAGGTGTTTTTCTCGGGAATTACAAATGTGGCAATGCATGGGTTCACCAGTTGACATTAAAATGTGACCATAGCATATAAATTCATAAAGTTAAACCAAGCAGCTATGAAACTATATCAGATCTTTGAACATAAATTGAGGTGTTCAACATCCACAGGACACTGAGATCTCCAGCACAATGGGAATGAAATAAGGAGTACATTCATAGATTTCAAAAAGGTGTCAATTGAATTTCCTAGATTCTTCCACACATCATGTTTCTTTTCTTCTTCTTTTGCTTTCTTTATATAATCTGCCTATCTTGGTAGCACAAGATTTTCCATTTCATCATGAAGCAACACTTTTAAGTCACTAAAACATATGCTGAATTGAAATTATAACTTTCTTATTATAACACAATTAAAAGTTGATTTCGCACAATTTGTCCAAACTCTCGAAGTGAAAGGGAGGAAAAGAAAAAGCAACACGTACGTAGGCCATTTTATTGATACTTCAATTATCACTCGTTTAAGATAAATTTTTTATGGCCCCATGCATGCTGATATGCTTTTTTGTAAGGGTACGAAATTCTTAACCTAAAGTAAAAGTTTAGAATTGAAACAAGCACAAATTAGGCTTAAACTGTAAAATCTCAAATTCAATTCTTTAGCATTAAAATTCCCAATAACACCAATCACAATGCCTCATTTGATCCCAAAAAATTATCATCTCTATGTTATTTTCATGTTTTCAAAATTTTTGCTATTTGAGTTCTCTTAAACGCCTTTCTTTCTTTCAAATTGATTGATAATAATATTACTAAAAAAGCAGAAGTTTAATTTAAAAATCTCAAAAATTTTAACTTCTACCAACAATAGTAATAAAAATGCCTTAATCAAAGGTTCATTATCTGTAACATCATGCAACAAATCCAAACACCAAGCTATATAAAGATCCAAAAACTTTCTTTTTATTCACATTCCATTTTCTCAGGAACCAAGCAGAAAACAAAAACTAAAATAAAAGGAAAAATAAATTAAATAGATGTTACCGTATTTGAGGCTCCCCCTCTGGGCCGCTCGAATGCCGCTAACGAAGCCGACATTTTCGTAGATTATCATTGAAATTATCAATCAATCAAAAAAAGAAAAGAAAAACGCATTCCTTAGCATTTCAACCTCTCAGCGGATGCACAGCGTTCGACATTGAGTCGACACAGCAGATCGGCGAGTTAACTCGAATCGAGGCAAGATCTAAAAGCTTAGAGCAAATAAAAAGTGAATCTTTAAGCTTAGGGTTTTTCTTCTTTTTTTTTTCTGAAGAAAGATTGATAGAGACAATAAAGAACAATCACCAACCAGAACTACTACACTCTCTCTATAAATGTACTTAATTTATTTACCCAAATACTACTAATATTTTTCCTCTCATTTTCCCTTCTGTTCTAAATTTTTCCTAATTTATATATAATATAAAATTTTTTTAATGTTATTTATTTGGATTAGGTAGAAAGCAATAGTGGTTGTCGTAGTAATATGGAAATCAGAGAGAAAGAGAGACCGAAAAGGAGAAGAGAGTCCTTGCGTTTCACCTACTTCACTGGTTTTGGAGAGAGAAAATGAAACGGTGAATGAAGAAGAGCTAAGGTCGTCTACAGTCAGTTGCAGTCCAACCTCTACTCTTTCACCACTTACAGCAAGCCAGGTCAGCACAAGCGAATGGAATTCCAATTTTCCTTTAGAATTTTGGACATCCGCTATTTAGTTATTTGTTGAAAAAAAAATGAAATATGAGAAAGAATTGACATGTAAAACTAATAAATCAATGCATATAACTAAGAATTTTAGCAATAAATTTAAAATACATCAATGTTGTCTCTTTTCCAAAATATTGTTTAATGATATTTCCAAAATAATTACTTTTTTAGTATTTGTTTTTCATAAGATATTTCATTTTGATTTTATTTAAAACTAATTGTCACAAGTACAATATTTTATTTTACTAAAATAAGACTTTCTCTTTTATTCAAAAATTACAAAACAATAAATAAATGAAATTACTAAATGTTACCATTTCATGCAATATACTTGCAAAGATAAAAGCTTGAATTATTTTTTTGATCGATAAAAAAGAATACACAAATTTATTAATTTTTTTATTTTTCGAAAATTGAGAAGAGGGGTTTGCTTTTCTAATAAATGCAAGGTTTAAGACTCATTTTCTATTGGTAGTTCAAGAAATAAAATGCATTTAGTCATTGTGATTTTATAGCACACCTAAACTATGTTAATGGACCACAAAAATGAGAACTCGCAAAAACAGGCGCTATTAACTGAGCCCACCCAGTTGAGTTAAATGCTGATTTGGCGTAATTTTATTGGTCCTATCCAGATCGTTAACCGGTTTCACCGCATATGAGCACAAAAGACAATTTGTTACGGCCTCGGTCAATCTCGTCTCTCGGTAAATAAAAAACGCCTAAAAAACGAAAACTAACACGAGCTTCAGTTAATTACGAGAACCACGCGCAATGGTCACGGACCACAATCGGAGGAAAGGAAGAGTTGTAGTGGGGGCCACGCTTGGGGCACCGGTCGCATGTGTGGCGAGAACGTGGGTAAGAAAAGAGGCGTGCGTGGGAGGGTTTTTTAACTCGTATTTCACTGAAGTGAGCGGTAAGCGGTAAGCGGTGATCGGTGTAGTTGATGTTCTGTACTGTTGTCACTTTCGGCTAAAATTGGGAATCGATGCGTTTGGCGACCTTGCCTTTTGGGGACGCGTTATTGCCAGTCACACTCACACCTATCAAACGAGGTGAGCGGTGACCTCGGTACACCTCCCGAGAGAATTTCCGTTAAAATTTCGTGCAGTCACGATACTTCGAACTTAAAATAAAATTATAAGATAATTATTAAATCTTATAAAAATAATAAAGATTAAAATAAAATAAAGAATTATGTCTATACTGTGGAGTGATATGTGAGGTATTTGCTTCCTTTGTATGAATTGAAAGTAAAATTATTTTCTCTCAAAAAAAAAAGAAAATGGTAAAACATATTACTATGTAAAGTAAAATGTAAATAAATAAATATTTATTTGGTTTATTCATTTGACAGACAAGATAAATACATATGTTATATTACTTATTTCATACATACAATTTTTGTTGATTTGTACAAATAAATGTAAAATAATTAAAATTTTAACATAATTAAATCATATTTTACTGGTTTTAATAAATGTATTTTTGTTATTTTATGTATTATTTCTTTATTTACGTATCACATTCTACTACAACAAGCATAATAATTAAGAATATTATTATTATACTTATTGCTCAAATTATTGATTTGCTTGTACAAAATAATAAAAAATGATAAAAGTGAACATAATTAATAAATATTTTAACAAAAATAAGTAAATAGAGTAGTTTCGATTTTCTTAGTAGAATCCATATATCACGCTTAAATATATCCTAATTGAAAGCTTAAAACAAATAAATTAAATACGTGTTTTAATTATTTTATTAATATTTTGATCTAAAAATTAATATTTACGTGAATTTTAAAAGTTGAATTTTCTTTAAATATTATTAAATTTATTTGTTGGCATACAGAGATAATATACTAACAATAATGCCTTTTCATATGACACAATGAACTTATATCTATAATTCATAAATAATTACATCACTTCTTATGTAATGGATGCCACATATCAAATATATTTACAATTTATATTATTTATGTGTGTTAGATTTTTTTTAATTTAAACTTTTATTCATTTATGAGAAATAATATTTGTAAATATAATAGTATCTTAATTAATTATCCAACTTATTGATACCTCTATTAATGATCACGCAACTCATATATAAATAATAATTTTATTGTTTTTTTTTGTATTAAATTCCTACAATAGTGCAGTGTTATATTTCAAATGTCTTCAACAGATCACATTAGCAATTCAATGAAAATTATGATTATCATTGAATGGTAACTTTGAGATGAACATTACCTATTAAATTATAAATTTGTAAAAACACACAGTTGGTTTCATCATAACCATTAAATCAAAGAAATCAAGTTTTGTAAGTTGGAGTAAGCCACCACCAACCCAATTTATTTTTAAAAATCAATACAGATGGTACAATTGTAAGGGTTTTAATTGCAAAATGGTAGCATTGAAACCAGGGTTGGTGGTGTTGTAATGAATATTGGTGCCGCTAATAGTCTTTTACTTGTAGTTAAATTTATGGTACCGGAGAGTAGTTTGAAGATGGTTGCCACTATAGCATTGAATCCATCCCAAGCTGTCAGCATTTTTGTAATCAATTATCACAAAATGAAAAGCAAACTAAATTGGACACTTTGAACAGGAAATATATATCCGTATTATTCTCAAAGTCCTATCCTTTTAATTGTAAATTATTGCTAACTTGTTATTTCGATATAGGTTGAAGTTGTTGATATGATCGATATTGTTTTTCAACGGTTATGTTACGGATTTCACTTATATTAGAAATAAGATAAATTTTAAATTTATTCATAAAAGTTTTATTCTCTCTAATAAATATATTTTTTAAAGTGTAAACTTGTAATAGTCACACTATGTTAGCATTTTGGGTAACAAATGCATGGTTTATGCATTCAAATTTGTCATTATCTACATGTATTGCATGTAAATATTTTTTAGTTATTTTTTTATATATAATTATAAATATATTTAAAATATAAAATTTGAATCCAAATTTTGTACTATTAATCTATAAATTATTTAATATTATTAGAGTTAAAATTTTTAATGAAAGCAATTTAATATAATTAAAATGTTTATTTACAAATTGAATATATCTTATTTATATTTATGGATAAATATTTGAAATAAAAATTTACAAATATTTTTTTTTGAAAGGATGAAAATTTAGAAATATGATTGGACTTTATTCCTAGCAATTGTGTCTATTTCTTAATTTGAATATCAATTCTTATTTAATAATACTATGTACAATCATAAATATTATTTATATAATAATTAAAAATTATTTAAAAATATAATTAATATGTAATTCGCATCTTTTATTAATGTGAGATCTATAATATTTTACCATGCATAATTATGTAACGCTTTTGTTGCACTGGCTCTTTTACTCGTAAAGTAGATGGACTCTTACACCAATTCGAGTTTATTTCAATCTTTGTATCTTTCATGAGATTTCACATCAATAAAGATCCAAGTCTACTTTGATACTACTCATCACGAACCTGAACTTAATACTAATTTTGTGCTACCTTAAGTTATAAAAATAGAGATTTAATAAGTTTATAAATCACATGTTCATGTTTTTAACTTAAAATACATGTTTAATAAGTGGTTGGATATTTGTGATATGAGATTCTTGACATTTTACACTTGGGGGATTACGATTTGTTTCTCTTAATATTTTCTTTCACATATTTTTTTATTAAAAGTAAATTGAGTTTAAAAATATTATACACGTATCATTTTAATCATATATAAAATTATTTAAATATTATGTAAATATTCACTTTAATTTTTTTCATATTTGGTATAGAATTTTTTATACTATTTTTATCATTAAGACTCTTTAAAAAATTAATCTTTATATGAGAATGATATTTTTTGAATTTTCTCAACTTTTTAACATAACACGTTAAGTTATTAATCCTTTTAAGATATGTTTTGAGAAAATATCATTAAAAATTTTCATGAAATTTCTATCATTGAGAAATTTCCAAAAACAATCATTTTTTATTTTTTATTTCGTATTATTTACTTAACAAATAAATCAATATTATTTATTTTAATTCAAAATATAATGAAAATAAAAAAAATTATTACATTTCTCAAATAGAAAATACTCTTTTTTAAATTGGATTTAAGTTGAACTTAATAAATAAATAAATAAATAAATAATGGTTAAAACTTTATTTTTCTTAAATAATGAGTAAGCTCGGAAGTTGAAGAAGTTAGGGGGAATTCAACCTTGCTATCTTCTTTCTATGCGGCGTTTAACTTGCAGCTTTCTCGGCAAAACTTGTCTAACGATTCGCTTGTCTTTACATGATACTTTGACTGAAAACCAAAGGCTTGCCTTGGTTCGCTTCTACATTCCGGGTTCAGCCTCCAGCCCGAGCTTATCGATATGGAGGCGGAAGAAAGAAATGACCAAAGAGGGTTTGATTGCGGCCAAGGAGCTCAAGCGTCTCCAGTCCAACCCCGTCCGACTGGACCGGTTCATCCGCTCCAACATCTCTCGCTTGCTCAAATCCGATCTCGTATCTGTTCTCGCCGAGTTCCAAAGACAAGACCAGGTTTTTCTCTCCATGAAGGTACGCTTAAAATATTCTAAGGAGGCATCATAAAATTTTGTTGTCAATTTTTCTAGGTTTAGTTTGGGGGGTAATGGATAAAAGCGGCTTAAGAGGAAATAATTGCAAGCATGATGAATTTTTGCCAGTTTTAGAGACAAATAAGCAAGAACAGAAATTTAAAATCAAATTCTATTTACCATATTTCTTACTAGTAGTATTAAATAAATTTGGGTTCCTGATTTCATACTGTTTATTGTTATGAACTCCAGTTCAGCTGGAAAGATAATGGACGTGAATTCAATCTTTACACTGAACCTGAACTTATTCTGAACAATGTCTGGGTTTCTTTCAAATTTATGTTGGTTTTTTTACTCGTTTATTTGATGTTTGTTAAAATTATTTGATTATAATGCTTATATTTACTACTGGACTACTGGTATTTTTAATTTCATAATAAAAAAAAATTGTGTTTATGGTTGCAGTATGGTATGCTTCCATCCAAATTTTAGCCGTATTATATGGAAAAGGCGGTTATTAGTATGCTTTAATATAGATGCTTGTGAATTATTCTGTTACATCTTATATTTCTAAGATATAGTTTTTCCCTTCTTTTTTCAGTTATATGATGTGGTGCGAAAAGAAATATGGTACCGGCCAGATATGTTCTTCTACAGGGATATGCTAATGATGCTTGCTAGAAACAGAAAGGTGGATGAATCAAGGCAGGTTTGGGAAGATTTAAGAAGAGAGGAAGTTTTGTTTGATCAGCATACCTTTGGAGACCTTGTCAGAGCATACTTAGATAGTGGACTACCCTCAGAGGCGATGGACATATATGATGAAATGAGACGATCCCCTGACCCCCCTTTATCTTTGCCTTTTCGAGTAATCCTCAAAGGCCTTCTTCCTTATCCAGAACTGAGAGAGAAGGTCAAAGATGATTTCTTGGAGCTTTTCCCAGACATGATTGTGTACGACCCACCTGAAGACTTGTTTGGAGATGAAGAGTCGAAAAGGGAGAGTGAAAGTGAGTAGAGTTTGCGGTCATTTCGCTAGGCTTTGCTTAACAATGGATAATGCTAATACAAGGGGTTTGGGGTCGATGCTGATTAAAGTTCAGAGATAATTGTTGACTATTCTCTCTCCATCTTTCGATGTTGTGAAGCTTGCTGAGAGGTCTTAGGCCTTGTTTGTGAGGAATTATCTTATCTCCCCAAAATTGTATGCATTTTTTACTGAATTGTTTTAGAGTCTGAATGTACCATACCAATTCGAGTTGCAGCATTTAGTAGTTTACCCCTGTGATTGTGTCATGAAATGGGTGTTACAGTCAATACTCAATTTGCAGCAGGATATCATGTTCCTTTATATTGTTTTGCTGCTCTGGCTGGGGGGTAATCATTTCCCCAAAATGATATACGCTCTTACTCTGTATGCACACATTTAGGATATAGTAAATGCTGTCAAACATTTTGCCTTATTCATGATTGTTTTGCATTAAGTTGAATGGTCACATCACTTGCCTTACCATTGGTGTTGTCGAGCAACCTTCTTAAGAGATGCACATCTATGGACGGATGCCATGGCGTTTCTGTTGTTTACCCTCCAGCCCTTTTGCCCTCCCTTATAGCCTTCCTAAAGAGACTAGAGTTAAAATTTGTTTCCATAAGTTTTGTCTTGAACATTACTTGTTTTAATTGTCTTCAGTGGACAAAAAAGGGTGGATAAAAAGTTATTTCTTTGGCTATCTCAAATTTTAAGTTTAAATATGTTAGTGATATGAGAAGAATATAGAAAATTATGATACCTTTTCTGTGTAGGCTGGGCATGGTTTGGAAGCGTAAGATTCACAAGATGGAGGATGAAAGGAGGGCAAAAATTCTAATTCAATGGTTAAACTTACTCTGAAAAGCCCAGCCCAAAACTAGAAGTGTACGAATAATCGATAACGGACTACACAGCGTTGGCACAACCCGGGTTGACTTAAATTGGGTGGTATTTCGTCACAGCTCGCGACGGCGGTCTGCCTAGTGATGGGCTCGCAAGCCCTGCCGATTGGCCTAGCTAGCATGGCTCGTGACTACAAAACTGATTGTGCCAATTATTAGTTATTTAAGTTGAATAGTTCTTTATATGAAACATGGTTGATTAGTGATTAAATTCACCTCAACAATCCAATTAAACTTTGGTTCTTGTGTTTTTTCAAAAGGAATTAATCTTTGATTCTCAAATGCAAAACAAATTTGTCAAAAAAAAAAAATCAAAACAAGTAAGTGAAACACATGCCAAGTGGATCATGCACAGCGCAACAATCTGTTGTAGGCATAAATAACACAAAAATAAAGATTTACAGATCAATAGTTTATTAATTATTGACGATCTAAGTTTTCATTTACATAAAACAAATTAGTATTAGTATTAGTACGGTAATAAAATAAAGGGGCAGAATACTAAAGTACTGGTAAATAGTAAAAGACTTGCAGAAGAGAACTTCGATTTGACAACGGTATGAGCTTTCATGTCAGTCTTCATAGTTTATATAACACCATTTCCCTCTCTCTGTCTCTCTCTCTCTCTCAAACGCCTCTTCAAAGTTCGCCAAATTGATTAATCTCTCTTAAGTCTCCTTCGTTATCTTGAGAATTTTTTTTTTCCATAGTCATTCTTTTTTTCACATTTAATTTCTTTATTTCAAATCGAATCAGTCGACATGACGTCATGTTACCACCGCTTAACGGCCGGTCAAACGTTACCGGACATTCCGGTTCAACCGCCGAAGATAAAACCAACGGCATCCAACATTCCCCTCATCCCTCCTCGGCCCTGCATAAATCAGCGGCCAGTTAGAATCGTCCTGCGTTTGAGAAAGTGTTGGAGAGTGGAGGCGGTGGGGCCGGTTGGAAGATCGGAAGGTGGAGATGGCGCGAAGAAGGCAGGACCGGGAGCAGGGCCAGGACCAGCGCCGTGCTCGTATTCGGTGGGGAATCAAAGGGTGGGAGATCGGACGGTGGAGACTGGGAGGAGAGAGAGGAAGCGGGCGGTGGAGGTGGTGGTTGCAGCGGGGGTAACGGTGGTGTTAGGAGTGGGGAACCGGGTGCTGTATAAGCTGGCTTTGGTTCCTCTCAAGCATTACCCCTTCTTTCTGGCTCAGCTCGCCACATTCGGGTACTCAAAAACTCTGTTAATATTAATTTGTCTTTTCTTTTAAATTGTCGTTTTTGGATTAGCGTGCGCGTGTCTTTAGACTTTTCCTTTTCTAAGTTGTACTTCCGCCAGAGCTTCGTTTGCTGCTTCCACGTCCGTAGTTGTGTTTATTAGGTATGCTAATAGTGGTAAAAATTTAATCAAAAAATTGCGTCTTTTCTAAAGGCCTAGCCATGTCGCGGATGCCCGATGCTTAAGAATTTTTTGAACAACAGAACATGTGAAAAACATGTGTTTTTTTTTTCTTCTGGTTTGTGTTTTCCTCTTTGTCAGTTTGCCTATTGAGAGCAATTACTGAAAATAACTTTCTGTTTGGGAAATTTGTCCAAAACACGGGTTCCGTTTCAGAAAATATGGTAAGTGTTTTTATTAATTTGCAATAAATAGTTAAATATTTATTTTAAATAATTTTTTACTTGTATAAAATATATAATATTTTGGCATTTCTTTTTTCAGATGGCAATTGGTAGTACTGTTTAAATCAAATTTACAGTAATATGTTATTATAATGAAAAGTTTTTACATTTATTTATTTTGGATACCTATGGGAATAGAGAATCTTTAATAAACAAAAATCGGCTGGAATAATCTCACCTGAAAATAACGAACATTTTATGGCCAAACTTGGCTGCTTGCGCAGGAAGAAGCAGCCAAAAACTATAATGGAGTCTTAACCTAGTCTAATTGTCCTCTCGTGGAGCGTGCCGGTCCCAAATCACTGTGCCCGAGTCATCTAACTTTTCAATATCCCATGTCTTATTTTCCCCCAAACAAAATATCCTCTCAATTTTTTCTTTTTTTTTTTGACTACTACTACTACACCATTCGGCCAGTTGCCAACTCTTTTACTGTTATACTAAAAATTTACTTTGTGTTGAATGGTATCTATCAATTTTGTCTGTTAAAATCTTGAAATATTTGAATATAAAAAACAACGTCATTACTGAATTAGTTATATCTTAGTAATTAATATATATATGTATATGTTAATAATTAATTAGATCATCTTAGCCTAAGCTTTTGCTTTGATAAAAGAAAAGTGTTTGAGCTTTTGCTATTTTGCTTTGCGCATTTTTTTTCCAAAGTATATTGTCTGATTAAATCATCTAGAATGTTAGTTCATGACCATCAATTGTGACTTAAAGACTTTAGGGGAAATCATTGTAATTTTGTGTTTTATACCCACTTAACTTGAGTAGGGAATATTCTTTGAAAGAGCAATGATGAGTTTAGCTTTAAAATATAAATTATGTGTAAAGCTATAGAGTGGCACGGGTTTGCATGATTGACCTTGCTTGCACATGGCTTTGGTTTGTGCATAAGGAAAATGTTACACTACTTTTAGCTGGTTCTCTAAGCTTGAAATCTTTAATCATGTGAAACTAATATGATTTATGTATGAGAGTTTCATAAGATCATCTTTGATTTATTTAGAATATTATCTTAGAATAAGCTTATATTCTTTTTGTAGCATCTTTTGTGGAATATCAAAAGTTTCTAATTCCTAATCTTCTTATCGCGTTTAAATACGAAAGTTGATAAGAGAAAATTATTTCAAAAAAAAAAAAGAAGAACAAAATATACTTGAGAAGGAAATAATTTGGTCATATTGACCTTTACAAGTGGTGGGTTCAAATGGAATGAGATCCATAGGGGAGAGATGGTATAATTAGTCAGATACAAAAGACAGAAGGAACCAAAGATGGTAGTGCAGCGCCACACATTGATTTCCATTTATTGAAAAAGGGGTTGATATGATATCATCACCTGGACTTATTACACTTGTGGTGGGACAAGGTGGCACCTTTACCTTTATGTTAGACAGTGCCCCACCTAGAGTGGCTTTCGTCTTTGATTTTGGTTTGTGGTCTTGAATCAGCCTTTTCCTTTTAGGCGTTTAATATATATGGCAGTGTTTATTTTGTTTTTGAGCAAATATAACAGTGTCTATACCTTATACTACTTAATTTCAAATAACTATTTAGACTTTTATTGAAACTAGTCACTTATTTTTAACGTATGAGTATAGTCTTTTTTATTAACTTCTTCTGAATTATAGTTCTGAGTATTTTTTTGTTTATCCGCATCACACTTTGTAATGAAAAGAAAACATATTTTTAAATTAAAAACTTTTTCTGATTATTTTAAAATGAATTTATAAGTATATGTGGGGCAATAACAATTATATCAATGAATAATGATATTAAATAACTTCAACAACTTTGATACACTAGTGTTTTGTAGGACTCAGTTTATCTTTATAAAATGGTCACTGTTCATACTAATATTTTAATATTAAAATCTTAAAATATTTTAGACATTGTCTTTATATCTATATCTATAGTACCGAAACCTCAATGTAGTTGTCAATTCTGACATTCAAGAATTATACACAAACATATATATGTAGTACCCAAATTTGAATTTATATTGTTAGACTATTTTATATATTTTAAATGATACATATTTATCATTTATATACACGTTTTCACACACATGCATACACGTTGTTATATTATCAATTTCTATATATTTAGTACTCAAATTTGAATTTATATTGTTTGAATATTTTATATATTTTAAATGTTATATGTTGATCATTTATTTATTTATTTTACACACACATGCATACACAGTATAATTTTATTAATTTTTTAAAAGGGTTATAAGTTTTAAATTATTTTTGGTACATAGTTTATAAGTTTTAAATGTGATACTGGTAAATGCAACTATGTTAGAATTTTGAAGAAGTATTGAGTAAATTATGTGAAAAGCCCTACCTCTCTTACTCTTGATTTGTTGTTTTCCAGGTATGTACTTGTATACTTTTCCATATTGCATCTCCGATATCATGCCGGTATAGTTACAGATGAGATGCTTTCCATGCCAAAAGCTCCATTTCTTGCTGTTGGCCTTTTGGAGGCTCTTGCTGCTGCGACTGGAATGGCAGCTGGAGGTTAGCCCGTGCTCTAATGTCTGTGCATGTTGTCTACTTCACACACTTAAATTTCTAGGACATCTTTTTATGGTGATATTGGAATATGTTTTTCTTTATAACATGACTTCGCATCCATTGTTTTTGTTACTTTTTGAGATGAGATCTCTTTTTGGTTGGGATCTTTAGCATCTTTGAAGGTACAGTCCTGTACTAATGTAGGTGTTAG